AGACGACTTCGAGCAGCCGCTCGAAGCCGCCAGCACGGCCCGATGCTGCCTCCTGGTCGTATTTGGAGACGGTTCAGGAGGACAGTTCAGTAGCGACGTGTGTCGCCGACGAGTCGGCGCGGCCGCGGTGGTGATGATCGCCACGCCGAATGGCCTGCGCCGTGCTGCAGGCGTGGCCTGCGGAATGGACGGTCGGCGCAACGGTCCCAAGGGCCGAGCTCCGCGCCTTCGCGCTGGCCCTATCCTCGCTCTCGGGGCCCATGCTGTACGTGACTGACTACTCCATGCTCCTGCGAGGGTGGGAGCAGGGCCTCCACCGCAGCGGGGGAAGCGTCGGCGGCAACGCCGACTTGTGGCGCCTAATTCGGGACGCCTTCGCCACACGAGACGGCGAAGTCAGCGTCGTCTGGACGCGGAGCCATGTTGATCCTGCCGACCCGTCCCTGTCTGAATGAGACAGGATGATGGCGGAGGGCAACGGGGCGGCCGATTCCTTAGCCAGCGACGCTGCCCGCCGAGCGCGGTCGGCGGCCCTCGTGGGCAGGGCTCCTGACACTGACGTCTGGGACTGCACGGCTGCGCTTGTGCGCCACCGCGCCCGACAGGCATTCGTCGACGCGACGCTCGCCGCCTCTTGGACGGCTGAGCGCCCTGCCGCCGCCAAGCGTCCAGCCGAGCCTCCCCTCCAGCAGGCGCTCGCGACCTCTAGCCATTGCTTTGTCAAGGCAGCTCGCCACTGGGCTTGTGCCCTCTGTCACCAGCTTGTGCCGGGCTCGCAGTTGGAGGCGGCGTGTGCCATGCCGTGCCATTCGGCGGGGAGCTCTGGTGAGAGTCACCCGGCCGATATCATCAGGGCGGCGGGGGCTGAGGTGTGGGTGGGGGGGGAAAGCAACTTCACTTGTCTCACCGGCTGCAGCTGTGGCCGCGCCACAGCTTATATTTCTGTTTTCGGTGCGGGTGCACGGCCACGACCGATCCCCGACACCTTCTGGGGAAGTGCGTTGAGGCCACCCGCAAGGGGCGCGAAAACCTGTCGCGGATCCAAAAGGGCTGCACCCAGGTAGACGCGTCCCTGCGGCAGCTGCTGCCTGCGACCTGGGGCGAGTGAGGAGAGTGGAGGCTCTCCAGCACCCCCCTGTTCTGCTGCGTCCGTCTCCCTCGCCGTAGGTCGGCCCCCACCTTCTGTGGGTGTCAGGCAACTCCGAGGCAACTCCTCCTCCTCCTCCTCCTCCTCCTCCTCCTCCTCTTCCTCCTCCTCCTCCTCCTCCTCCTCTCCCCCATGGAGCGCTGGCGGTGGCTCGGGCTCCCAACTCCGAGACAACTCCGAGGCAACTCCTCCTCCTCCTCCGCCTCCGCCTCCTCCTCCTCCTCTCCTTCCCCCTCGCCGCCTCCTCCCCCTCTCCTCCTCCCCTCCTCCTCCTCATCCTCCTCCTCCTCCCGTTCCTCCTTCCTTTCCCTCCTCCTCCTCCTTCTCCTCCTCCTCCTCCTCCTCCTCCTCCTCCTCCTCCTCCTCCTCCTCCTCCTCCCCAGGGGCACTCGGGCACGGGGAGAGCCACGAGAGGCCGAGAGAACAGACCACCCGTCCTTCCCCCTCGCGCTCTGCTCTCTTTTGCCTTCCTGCCTCAGCTCGCGCCCGGTGCACCCCGCCGCACAGCCGGCGTCGAACTGTGTCTCAGACCACTTGGCGCCCGCGGAGCTTCCAGTTGTTCGACCCCGGCGCGTCTCCTCGATCTGAGCCTCTTGTCGAGTAGGGGATCGATTCCAGATTTGTTTGACCACGCAAAGTGATATTGTCGTCCGATGTACAACAAACGCGCGCGCACGCGTTCTCCCGGAGCCCTCCTCCTCCTCCTCCTCCTCCTCCTCCTCCTCCTCCTCCTCCTCCTCCTCCTCCTCCTCCTCCTCCTCCTCCTCCTCCTCCTCCTCTCCTCCTCCTCCCCCCCTCCTCCTCCTCCTCCTCCTCCTCCTCCTCCTCCTCTTCCTTCTCCTCCTCCCCCCCCATGGAGCGCTGGCGGTGGCTCGGGCTCCAGCACCCGCTCTGACCCCAGCTCCCAAAGCCCCGGCTCCAGCGCTTCCCAGACCCCTTCGCGTTGCGAACATATCGCGGCGCGAGGTTCTTCGCTAGTCCCCGGGAAGGTGTCCAGACCTTGTGGGGCCGACGTTGTGAAACAAATTTCGACGTCGGGGGTCTTGGCTCGGAGCGGCTGATCGATACCATCCAATTCCGACGCCCTCTGGCTCCCACCTCCGAGCGCCTACGGATGAGCGGATGGCTGGTCTCATTCGCATAATTCTCGAATGGCTTTCGAGGCAGTTTCGAGGCTTCGAGGGGGTTTCGAGGCCTCTTGGGGGCCGTTTGGGGGCTTCTTTGGGGCTCTTTTTGGCCTCTTGGGGACCTCGTGGGGGGCCCTTTGGAGGCCTCTTGGGCGCCTCTTGCGGCCTCCTGGGCGCCTCGGTGGGCCTCCTGGAGGCCTCTTGGGGCGAAAGGCTCGGATGTTCAGTTCGTGTTCCCTCTCGTGGGCCCCTTTTTGGGGCGCCTCCTGGGCAGTCTTGGTGCCATCTTTGGCCGTCTCGTGGCCCTCTTGGGAACCTCCTATTCTGGGTCCCTGAATGATCGCCCCCCCTAAGGGGCCGGACCCCCCCTTCCTTCGCAACTTAGTTTTCCGGACCCCCCCCCACGTGGGGCGCCGAAATATTCCAGACCCCCCTCAGTAACATTACGAGCGCGATCGTTCACGACGGTGGTAACCTCGGTCATAACAGTGGCGAAAAGTAGTTTGTTGCGACCCTTGGGGCGGGCAAATCATGCCCCCTCCCAGGAATCCTGCGCACCTCCTCCTCATCCTCCTCTTTCTCACCCCCCCTGCGTAGTGGGAGCAGTCAGGAGGGGATAAGGCGGTGGGGAGTGCTTTGTGCCATGACGGGCTCATTTGAGAATCCGCCGACGTGCATGATCAAACAGACGCCAAATATTGACGGCGAAGACGGTACGCGAGAGGCAGTGCATTTGCGCAGCCAGGGCCAGGTTGCAGGCGTGACCGCTCCTATGATGATGGCGAAGGTGATGTTGCCGATGATAGCGGTGCTGCAATGTTAAGTGCGCACAAAAGCATGACGTCGACGGCGACGCCAGGGACGACGTTGTCGATGATGATGATGTGGATGATAATTGTGATGGCAGGCAGCGACGATGATGATGAGGAGGATGAGGATGATGATGCTGATGATGATGTGATGATGCTGCTGCTGATGATGATGATGCTGAGAATGATGGTAGTGATGATCATGATGATGCTGATGATGATAATGATGATGAGGATGATGATGATGACGATGATGATGATGATAATCATGGTCATGATGATTGTGATGATGGCCATCGTGATGAGGATTAATGTGGTGTGAAATTGCATGCGCAAAATGCGCCCTAATAAACTGGACCCCGGGAATGTCGGCTGCAAGAAAGCGCCTTACTAAAGCAGACCCCCCTGCCTATCCAAAAGGCGCCTTCAAAAACGGGACCCGGGGGACGATTAGTAAGGGATCTGGAGTAGGCCGTCTTGGGGCGAGGTTGGGGGCCTCTTGGGCCGTCTTGGAGCGTCGCGAAGCCGAGAAGGCGAGACAGCCAAGCACCTTTTGAATAACACATGGAAATGACTTGTTTGTGCCTCTTGATGCCCTCTTTTGGGAGGCCTCGTAGACGCCTTTGGGGGCGCCTTGGAGGCCTCTAGGGCCGTCTGGGGGAGCGTCTTGGAGCGATCGCTCGGCGACTTGGGGCCCTCCTTGGCCCGTCTTCGGGGCCCCTCGGGGCCTCCTTGGCCCGTCTCGGGGCCCTCTTGGGCCGCGGACAAAGGTCCTGCGACGAGATGCCGGGAGCCCAACGGGGGCACGCGTCAAGCCCCAGGAGATCTCGGAAATGCGGGCCCGGGGCCCCACGAAGCTCCTCGGGCGTGAGGCTCGGGTCTCAGAGGATTCGGCGGAGGACCGGAGGACACGCCCGCTCCGCGGCCAGCGGCACGGCCTCTTGGAGCTTTCGGAAACTCGGGTCGGGGCCCCTCGAAGCTCCTCGGGCGTGAGGCTTGGATCTCAGAGGCTTCGGCGGAGGACCGGAGGGCACGCCCACTCCGTGGCCAGCGGCACGGCCTCCCTGGACTGGGAAAGGGGGCGCCGCAAGGCCGAGGCGCGCTGAATACGGATACATGTCGAGAGTCCTGGGGCCAGATGTTCAGATGTTTATATGCAGATCCAGTGCGCCGCGGGCTTCTGGGGAAGGGAGCCCGAAACTCCAATTTGCTGTGGAGATGTACGCAAGTCTTGCTTGCAACCACGCTTCCGCGCGACACGCTATCCACTTCGCGGCCCCCACGCGTCGACGTCCCAGCTTCCCGCCCCGCGGAGCGGAGCGGAGCGACACGCCGTCCGCTCGCAGGGCATCGAGTGTCGCTGGGGCCGCCAGGACGAGTCGCTAAGCAGAGATTTCCGGCCGTAAACCAGCCACGGACGCGCGGGCGATGAAGAATGCCAATCTGGAAGCCCAGACCCCCTCGAGTCGTGAAAAAATCACGACGGGAGGTTTTTCGCTATTTTCGGCCTCTGAGGGCCCTTACCGGGCCTCGGGACCGTCAAAAAACGACTCGGGATGAAAAACCGGTCCCGGGGAATGGGTCTGGACCTCTGGGGGTCGCGTCTGACGGCACCCCCAGAGGTTCAGACCCATGACGTCCAGAGGTTCAGACCCCCGACGTCATGATTTTTTCATGACGGTCATGAAAAAATCATGACGTCGGGGGTCTGGGAGAGGAGCAGGAGCTTCTGCAGGACAGGCCCAGACCACAGGGCGCGCTCCGGCAGGGCCCTGGTCGCGCCGCTGGCGGACGGAGGGCCCGATTCATTCCCACGGGCAGCGCGCTGAGTCCCCAGCCAGACACCAGGGCCCTCGACTGTGCGCAGAAACCTTTGCGCCGAGGCGGGCACACCGCGGTGGCGCGGCCCCTGCTAAGGACCGGGACGGCGCCGACCGGGCCGGCTGGTGGTTCGGGCCTGCGGTCGGCGGGGGCCCTAGTAACTAGTATCCACTGAGCACGCGAGGCCGTCTGCGATCGGGGGGTAGCGTGATCGCCGATCACGCGTTCGGTTCGGCTTGCTTGGTCAAGCGGTCGCCCAGGCTGCAGTGCGTGATCGATCCGTGATCGGCGCGGTAGGCATCGTGACCAGGGTTGTGACGCCCGGACACGCCCTTGCTGAAACGCAACCCGTGCCGTGTTCCAACCGCCCGTGCAAACACGCTGCGTGTTGGCTCGGCCCGTGTTGGTCCACGTTTCGGCGAAGGCGTCGCACCGGACCCACGTTTCCGTTCTACGTGTTGAGCTGCGTAATCGTGCCAACACGCTACGTTTTGTGTGTTGCGTGTCGGGGCGGCTGCAGTCGAACGGAGGTATAAGATCGAGTCCTGTTCTGGGAGGGTGCCCTAGTGTTCTTCGTGTTTGCTGGGTGCTCTTGCGCATCCTGGGGAGGGCACACTTGGATGTTCTGTGTGTTTGGGCCGGCGGAGGGTCTCGTGTGCTAGAAAGATGCTCGTCTGGCCTATGTCCCACTGTATCGGGCAGGTTAACCAGAGCCCCGAATCATCAGGGGTAACTCGTGTCAGGGCTATCTTGGGTTCGTTTTTCGGGAATCCGAACCCGAGTTTCCCCGGACAATTCGGGCGTCCAGAGCCCCAAATCATCAGGAGCAACTCGTGTCAGGGCTAACTCGGGTTCGTTTCTCGGGGATCCAAACCCGAGTTGCCCCGGTCCCGAGTTGCCCCGGATACCTCGGGCGCCCAAGTTGAGGGGCCGTGACCGTTGCGTGATCGGACCACGTGGTCGGGCGGTGTCGTGGTCGGCCGGGTGGTCGGCCAGCCGCCCGAGGTGGAGGCCAGGTGTGGGCCTTCCACGCGGGCGACGGCTCGACGGCGCCGCCTAGGCTCGGGCGCCTCTCAGGGGGGGGGGGTCGTCGAGGCGGGGGCTCGGGTTCAGGGGCGTCCTCGCGCGCTGCTCCCGCTCGTCGTCGTCGTCGTCCTCCTCCTCCTCCTCCTCCTCCTCCTCCTCCTCCACCTCATCATCATCATCGTCTTCCTCCTCCTCTTCCTCCTTTTTAACGTCCTCCTCCTCCTCTTCCTCCTCCTCCTCCTCCTTTCCTCCTCCTGCTGCCCCTCCTCCCCCTCCTCCTCCGAGCGAGCGACATCAGGCAGCTTCAGCGAACAGCACTCCCAGCGGTCCCCTGCAGCTTTCTCGCAATGATGACATGAGTGGGCCCAGGGATGGGAGCGGCGGCGGTTGGCGATGCTTGCGGACAGTGGTCTGCAGCCCGCTCACCTTCTCCGCTCCCGCCAGGGTCAACGACTAGTAGGAGTACAAGTCTGTCGACATCCTCATGGTCCACGGCACCACTATCAGAAACAGGGGGAGCCTGCAAGGCCGGTCGCATCATAGTATGTTTTCATCTACCTGGGCTTCAGCAGGGACGGTAATCACGCGTGTGGAGTTTCCAATGCATTTCACCGAAGACGGGTGCGAGTCGTGCGGGTTTTGCAGGGGAAGAAACGGTTGCAAGGCGGAGCTCTCACGGTCAGGTACAAGCGGGGGAGACAGGACCTCGCCATCTCCTCGGTGTACTACCCTCCGCGAGGCAATGGCAAAGAAGCGGCTGCGGAGCAGACGGCGATCGCCAGCGAGCTCACCATATGACTGCACGAAATTCGCAACCAACTGCCAGCACGTTGTGTACCACGGATCGGGATGGATCTGAGTTCAGAATGCGGACTAGATGTGGCGCTTCCACAAGTGACAGACACGGGTGCGCCAGCACCAGAAGGACCAAACTTTCACAACATCAAGCCATCGCTTCATGCACACGACCTGGTGCTGGCCAACACGTATTTTGACTGGCACATCGGTTACCTGGCATGTCCGCGCAGCATGGGCCAGAATTTTGACGTGTGTTTTGTCGCCATGAGCAAAGGCAGAATGTTGCAGCACATCAGGTGCAACGCCCCGAAGGACCACTTCCCCATCTTCACGGTTTTCTGGCACGCCTTCAAGTACGAGGGCAAACCCGCGATGTTGAGCTACAACAAAGAGGCTTGCAATGCGTTTCTCTTGTATGGCACAGGACGGTGACGATTTGTAGAACAGTGGAAGAGCGACTGGCACAACATCGGAACACCTTCGAAGAGTGGGAATATGTATGCAGGGGACGTGGACCAACTCAACGCGGGCATTATGCAGATCCGCCAGGAGGCTTCAGCGGACAAGTTTAAAGAGGCACCAGGATACGTCGAGAATGGAGAGAACACATAAGCACAGAGCACGCGGCCCAAAGAGTTACTATTGCGTAGACGACAAGCTAAGGAATCATAAGTGGAGTACCCAGATGAATGCAGCATTGAAGCATGCAGACTGAGCAGGCGCGGTCCTCGTGGGCGTCTTTACAACCGAGTACCCGCCACAAGAGCCACGGCAGGAGAATGGACAGAGAAGTTTCACAGAGCAGGGGTGGCAGGAGGAGCAGAAGCACAGCTATTTGTACGAGGAGAAGAGCCAGAGATCACCGCGGGCTTCTGGAGACTACCGCTTGTTGAAGACAGCGGACGTGGAGCTCAGCACAAGCCCTCGCATTTGGAGTGGATCAACCCGAACGAAGAGGAGCCACTAGACTATGGAGAGATTCACCATGATTCACTTTTTACGGTGGAGCGATTGAGAAAGGCGCTCAAGAAATTACCTTCGTGGCGAGCTCAACCCAGCTGGTCGGCACCGGGATGTGTTCTTCGTGCGCTGGCCATGCCGAACTGGTACTATCGTCCTCAGAGGGGAGGTGTGTTGGGGCCACGCCAGGAGGATGAGTGGATTCAGGCACCAGGGCTCGAGAGGACCCTCTACTTGCAGCGCGGGCGCATCAGAACTGTGGGGCGCCTGCAACAGGGCATCCGGCGCCATGCTGCATACAGGCGAAGCACGGTGACAAAGTTGGCACGGCAGGAGAGTGGCCCATCATGGCTTTCTGTGGACTGGGCAGGTCATTTTATCGTTCGCTCATGACATCGGGTCGGCAATATCAGCATTGGGCTCACGGAGGCAGATCACACCGACGCCGCGAGCGTGCAATGCTCGTTCAACAGTGTGGATCAGCGCGTTCTAGATGAGCGGGAGTGGCGCACACCACTAGGCACCATGACGCCAGCAATGCGTTCTAGTGCGTGCACACAGACGTAGTGGAACAAGCTACTGCAAGGCTGGTGCAGGAAGGCAAGGAGGACCTATTCTTGCAGAGGGTCTACAACAGTTCGCTTGTCGTCCCAGATGCACATGAGAGTGCTCACGTGGCAAACGGGTGAGGGGTACTTCCAGGGGATCACGCCGCCGCGAAGCTGTTCGTGAAGACGCAGGGGTACGGCGTCGAGTCTATGACATCCATCCTCAACCAGGACCCCCGGCAGCGAGCGTTGCGCACGACGGTGCCCGAGGCCGCGCAGTCCCTGCGCGACGACAGCGCCGTCGACCTGGCCACCAGCACTTTCGTCGACGATGTTGCGAGAAAAACCGTGGGCGCCGGTCCGTTTCACATCCAGAGAGTGGCGTCCTGTGAGAGTCGCGTCGTCGATCAAGGGCTGGAGGAGATCGAGGGAGCTCACAATCGAGAAAAAACAAGTCAACCTCGTTCAAGGAGCGGGCCCTCCAGCAGCCAAATTCAATCGAGCTTTTCAGTCATGTTGTCTCGGGTTTGAGGGGCGCGCCGCCTCGGCAGCAAGATATCGTGGAGGTCTTCAACGCGATGACAAAGGGCTTTCAGCGGAAATACACGTTCGTCTTCAGGCTGTAAAAACTGCGCGGTGCAAAATGGGGGCCTTCTGGATTACTTCGCAGGTTCCCCTCAGGTTTATGTTCGTCGCGTCCGTGGGGGTGGTCGTCGACGCGGCCCCCTCGGGGCTGGAGTCGCACGTCCTCGGCGCGACCAAACCCTCCACCAGGCAGTCCTTGCAGCCTCTACAGCAGCAGATCAATAAGTGCACGCGTGGTCCGGCATGGCAAACACACCGCGCGCTCAGAACATAAGGTACGTGCCCGTAGTAATATTGCAGTACAGTGTTTCATGAAGTTCGGCAGTGTCTTCGTCGATCTCAGGGTCAGAATATTGCAGTGGTTGCAGGATACTGTTGCGAATCGGCGTGGTCATCGACAGGTCACTGCTGCTCTCGCCGGCCAGGCACAGCGTGAATCAGCCAATCTTGAAGTCTCGAGCGATGGCGAGGCTCTTCCCACGGCCAGCGCGTGGACCAAACAGTTCTGGGCTGACGTGCCAGCGCTGTTTGACATAGAAGAGGGGCAAGCACTGGGGTCTGAACCCGAGGGTCAGTTTTAAAGTTTTTTCGGGTGAAGCCCGCGGTGTCTTCCTGAAAACCGACGGCACCCAGCTCAGGCCCAGAGAGCTGTCAGTCGCGATTCCGCCGCCAGCGTCGGGGGCGCTCGAGGTCGCAATGCCTGCCACCCCCCTCGGGGGAGATTGCGCGCTGTACGTTTGTGATGTCTCCCAAGGGAGCTTTCAGTCCCAGAAGGCCGTTGTGGCCGATATGAGTAGAGTCTGTGCCGGGGTAGGTTCCGACAGACGTTCCCTGCGAGACTCGGTCTGCCACGCTAATCGAGTGCCCTATGCCATCACATCATTATACTTTTGCCTGGTTTGCCAAATCACGGTTGCTGACAGAGAGACGACGCAGCGGCACCTAGCGGCAGCAATTCAACACGAACGATGTCTCACATATTTCAAGGCTAGGAACCCTGCGCGCGTGGAGCACATTGCACGCAGTGCGCGCTGTGTAGCTATGATGCTCCACCGCCTGAGCTGCTGATTCGACGTTCTGTGGATGTTCACCTGAGCGCGTACTTGGACACTCACACTCCCGCCTTCGATGCCAGCGCGGCTGAGCGCGGCGCAGGATATGGAGCCCAAGGAGGATAATGGGCCCAAGAGGGGCAGGAGGGAGAAGATGGATACCTCGGGCGCGGAGAAGAAATGGATGCTTTAATTGGAGGCCAGACTGAGAGAACACGAAACCAACGACACCCACTTCAGGTCCCCAGCGGGCCATCCTGCGCCTATGAACATGAAAAAGGCAACCGGCGATTTCGACGAGCAGGTCAAAAGCATTTGCAGTGGACATAAGCTAGGCAGCCCACGCTTACACGCCTTCGCCAGCCTTCTAGGGTGCTTGACAGACACCAGCGTGGACGGCAAGGCGGAAGAGATCGAGGTTATTTTTTCACGCAGCCGCGCGGCTTCACAAGGCATCAGCGGTCGACGGCAAGCTATCGGACATGGAGGACTTCTGCCACTCGCGCCGCGCCAGCGACTGCCACGTCAAGCAGGGCGCCCAGCCCATGAGCAGGATCAAGTACGCAGTGGAGGGCCAATGGCCCACGGGGAGGACCTTAGTCGAGGAGGACGAGCTCGACTCCGTCAGAGTGCATCCGCTGGGGCTCGACTTCGGCAAGAAGTACCTGCATGTGACGGTGGCCAGGCTCCTCTCGTTGGCAATGAGGGCCGCAGGCGTGACAAAAATGCAGGGGAAGGCCCCAGTGGGAGGCCTAGCACACACGATCCGAGGCAAACAGTAGTTGAAGCGTTGATTATATCAGCCACCAAGCATCAACGTATTCAGTGTAGCCCGAGTAGCTGCAGCAGGCAAATTAGCAGGTCTAGCCAGGAACCTATCCTCCCTCCTTCGCCCCCTCTTGAGCCTCCTCCTTCGTCTCTCCCTTCCCTCTCTGAGACGTCATGGGAGCAGCGTTCAACAGCGCTTCACTGGATCATTCTGCAACAGGAAACATTGGGCCGCCGCAGTAAGAAACATTGGGCTGCCGTGCCGAGTCGGCGCTACGTGCAGGGCTGATGGGCCTAGCGCTTCTGTTAGTGCTAGAGGCCCCCTGGTGTACGTCTATCTCAATGGATGCGCGTTTTCCTTACCAGGCTCTGCGGTGCAAGCGAGATTGAGAGATCAGAACTCGGCGTCGATGCTGATTCAGTCAGTTCGTCGGTCTCCTCCTCCTCCTCCTCCTCCTCCTCCTCCTCCTCCTCCTCCTCTTCCTCGTCGCGTCGCGTCGGCGGAAGGGCCGTTCGGCGTGGGTCGGTTCCTGACCGCAGCGGCCCTGCGGCCCCCGTTTTGGGGGCGGCCGTTTCCAGAGCTGCGGCGCGACCAGGCGCGCCACACGGTGCCAGGGCGCGGCCTCGTGTCCTGAGCCACGTGCGTTGCGGCGCGCGGGGCACTCCAGGACACTTCCCGTCGCGTTGGCGGCCCTTGCCGCTGGGCCGCCCAGGCCGCCATCGCCGGCAGCCGCTGGCGCCGAGGACCCGAAGCGTGTGCAGGATATCGAAACGGGGTTGGGTCAGCACGTTTCTTTGTTTTCCGCGTCCTCGTCATCCCTTCCTCCTCCTCCTCCTCCCTCCTCCTCCTCCTCCTCCTCCTCCTCCTCCTCCTCCTCCTCCTCCTCCTCCTCCTCTTCCTTCCCCTCCTCCCCTTCCCCTCCTCCCCCTTCTGTTCCGGCCTCCTCCTCTTCCTCCTCCCCCTCCTGTTCCTTCTTCCTCATCATATCCCTCTCCCTCTTCCTCCTCTCCCTCATCTCCGCTTCCTCCTCCCCGTCCTCCTCCTCCTCCTCCGCCTCCTCCTCCTCCTCCTCCTCCTCCTCCTCCTCCTCCTCCTCCTCCTCCTCTTCACCCTTCTCTTTGTCAGCGCTCTGCCCCGGCGGCGAGTCCGCTGCAGGAGACGCCCTCGCTCGCCCCGCCCCGTGGCGGCCAGTCGGGGCTTATACCTCTTCGATGCGCGTGTCGTCGTCGTCGTCGTCGTCGTCGTCGTCGTCGTCGTCGTCGTCGTCGTCGTCGTCGTCGTCGTCGTCGTCGTCGTCGTCGTCGTCGTCGTCGTGTCCTCCTCCTTCTCCTCTTCCTCCTTCTGCCCTCCCTCCTCCCCCTCCTCCTCTTCCTCCTCCTCCTCCTCTTCCTCCTCCTCCTCCTCCTCTTCATCCTTCTCCACCTCCTCCCCCTCCTCGCCTTCAAGGGCCCGCTTGGGTTCCTCCGACTCGATTCGGTTCGAGTTCGACGGCTTCCGATTCCGATTCGATTCGACTTGGGGTTCCGCTTTGGGTTCCGACTTCTCACCGCAGGCATGCCGGCCTGCAGATCTCCGCCGATCCGAGTTGCCCCGACTCGGCTGCCGATTTTTTCCGCCGGCCCGGTGTAGTCCCACCGCAGGTCCGACGTATCGCTCCGACTCTGGCCCAGCATCGCCTCAAATTTTGACGCGACGAGAGCCCACCTTCGCATCGATCCGTCGGATCTGGTGACGAGGAGACCCTTTGAGGCTCAGAGGGTCACCTCGTCGCCAAAGGCCAGACCTCGCCTCGACGTCTGGTCGGCCCAGGCCCTGCACGGACGAGATGGGTACGGAAAGAATGGGTCCGGACAGACTGGCGTCCAAACAAGCGCGCCCCCTTCTGGACAGGGCCCGGGGGCCCGAGGCTCGGAGCCCGGACACCTCGGGCCGCATGGCAGACCACGGCGGACGGCGTTCGGCCATGTGCGGTTGCTCCTCGGTCGTGGAGGGTACAGTGCCGTTTTAATACATGCTCCGCGTGCGGTTGATGTACTAAACATGCAGGGATGTAGCATTAAAAACAACGATGAGTTTATGCATAAATGTATGCATACACGAATCATGTATTAAACATCCCACGTGTTTAAACATCCTATGTATTAACAACTGCCCTGTAGGTGTCTCTTTGGAGCCCCCGAGATTCCCACATGCCTCCAGCGCCTTCCCGCTCGAGGGGCCGAGGGGCTTCCCCCCTTCCCTCCTCCTCGGGGGGCGGGCGGACGCCCGGCCCACTTTCACCGCCTCCCTGCCTCGTGGTTCTGGCTGCTCCTTCTTTTTCTTCTTCTTCTTCTTCTTCTTCTTCTCCCGACCGGTGTGTTCACAAGGCGGCCGCGGCGCGGAGCCTCGGGAGAACGTCCACCTCTGGCGCTGCCCGTGTTCACCACGGGCGTCTTTTTTCCAGAGCTCGGGGCCCCGGGGCCCTCACAGATCGGTGCGGCGCGAGGCAGGAGCCTGTTTTTTTAGACTCTGGCAAGTTTACTTGCATGGACGGGGGGGGGGGGCTGAGCCTGAAGCAAGCCGCAAACGACTTGCACGTTCGGGGGGGCGCGGAAATCACGCAAGTCGAAAGGCACTTGCACGCTAGTATTCGCTTGAAGAGGGGCGAGGGGGGGGGGGGGGGGGGGGGCGGGGGGGGGGGGGGCGAACGCCATCCAAGTAAACTTGCCCGAATCCAAAAAGAAACAGGCTCCAGGTCGGGCGAAGGCGAAGACGCCCTGGGCTCCGTGGTCGTGGTGTGATTTCTGTGGCGGCGCTGCGGCTCCGTCTCGCAGCGTCGGGCGTCCGGGACGAGCGGCGGCTCCCCCGGCGACACTGGGGAGAGAACTCTGGGGGCCAAGCTGCAGGCAGTGCCGAGGAGGGGGGGTCGCCACCAGGTGGGGCGCCGCCAGCTCTCTTCCCGAGGAGGAGGAGGAGGAGGAGGAGGAGGAGGAGGAGGAGGAGGAGGAGGAGGAGGAGGAGGAGGCGGGGTCCTGGGCTCCGTGGTCGTGGTGAGTGATTTCTGTGGCGGCGTTGCGGCTCCGCCTCGCAGCGTCGGGCGTCGGGGACGAGCGGCGGCTCCCCCGGTGAACCGGGGAGAGAACTCTGGGGGCCAAGCTGCAGGCAGTGCCGAGGAGGGGGGGTCGCCACCAGGTGAGGCGCCGCCGGCTCCTCCCGAGGATTGCGTCGGGCGTGTCTCCCTGTACGCGAGGAGTATGCAAACATAGTCAACATATAGTCAGGGAACGATGTTCCGACTACTCCAGTTTTCGTAATAAAAGGGAGGGGGTCTGGACCCTCCAAGACGAGCCATTTCAGACCTCCCCTCGTGGGAGAACCCTCCAAAACATCGTCCCCAGACCCCCCCAGGCCCTCCAAGATAGCCTGGAAGAGACCCCCCCCCGAAATTAGACCCCCCTCCCTTTATTACGAAATCTGGAGTATAGTCAGGGAGCGATGTTCCGACTACGTTTGACCATTCTTTGAATATGTGTTGAGCTTCTCCATTTTCCTCAAAGAATCCGCCTGCAGGAGGACGTGCCCGACCTACCCCGAGGATCGAGGCGCGAGGACCCGAGGGGGGCGAGGAGGCTTCCGAGCGGCCTCGCGCGTCGTCGTCGTCGTCGCCGCCTCCTCCTCCCCCTCCCCCTCCTCCTCCTCCTCCTCCTCCTCCTCCTCCTCCTCCTCCTCCTCCTCCTCCTCCTCCTCCTCCTCCTCCTCCTCCTCCTCCTCCTCCTCCTCCTCCTCCTCCTCCTCCTCCTCCTCCGCGCAGCCGAGCCCCCTTACGAGGAGAGCTGGGCAGAGCGGCTGTCCTCCTCCTCCTCCTCCTCCGCCGCCGCCTCCTCCTCGTCCTCCTCCTCGTCCTCCTCCTCGCGGTCGTCCTCCTCCTCCTCCTCCTCCTCCGCCGCCTCCTCCTCCTCCTCGCACCGAGCGTTCTGGAGGATACCTGGCAGGGTTTTTTTGGGGGGGGGGCCCTGTGTGCGGCGGCGGGCCCGGCGGGGGGAGCGCGAGTGGTGGGCGGGCCCTCCTCTTCGGAGGGCGGGCGCGGCCTCTCGCAGAGGCCCCCCTCGCGCCTGCCGAGAGCAAGGCTGCAGCCGGCGGCTCGGAGGGCGCGAGATCCTCGGAGGGGCCCCCGTCGCCCGCCGAGATGGCCCGCTCCCTCTCGGTGTTCCCTCCTGGGCTCGCAGTCGACTTGTGGGGCCTCCTCCGCCTCCTCCTTCTTCTCCTTCTCGTCCTCCTCCTTCTCCTCCTCCTGCTTCTCCTCCTCCTCCTCCTCCTCCTCCTCCTCCTGCTCCTCCTCGCCTCCTCCCTCCTCCTCCTCCTCCTCCTCCTCCTCCCTCCTCCTCCTCGTTTTCCTCCTCCTCCTCCACCTCCTGCTCCTGCTTCTCCTCCTCCTCCTCCTCCTCCTCCTCCTCCTCCTCCTCCTCCTCCTCCTCCTCCTCCTCCTCCCCTCCTCCTCCTCCTCCTCCTCCTCCTCCTCCTCCTCCTCCTCCTCCTCCTCCTCCTCCCCCCCCCCCCGGGCTCGCCACCGACCTTTGTGGGGCCTTCTCTCTCTCTGCCCGGCCGCCGCAGGTCTGGATGGAGGGTGCCCCACGACGGCGCCGTGGACGCGGCCTTCTCGCTGCGGCCCGGCGGCGAGGCGGGGGCGCGGGGGCAGCCGGCCCGACCCTGGCCTGCCATAGGAGCCTGTTTTTTTTGATTCAGGCAAGTTTACTTGCATGGCGTTCGCCCCCCCTCGCCCCTCTTCAAGCGAATACTAGCGTGCAAGTGCCTTTCGACTTGCGTGATTTCCGCGCCCCCCCGAACGTCCAAGTCGTTTGCGGCTTGCTTCAGGCTCAGCCCCCCCCCCCCGTCCATGCAAGTAAACTTGCCAGAGTCTAAAAAAAACAGGCTCTAGGTGTGGACCTCCCCAGATCTCCGCCCAGAACCCCTCGGCCTATGTCGTGGCGTCAGCATCGCAGGGCGGATTGCGCTCGGAAGTCAATGGGATGGGCCCAGACCGTCCTGGAGAATCCCGTTCCCGATTCCGGAGTGAATTTCGTGCGGATTGTTTGTTGGCCAGGAATGAAGACTGCAGCTAATCCACGTGAAATTCACTTAGTTTTTCGCTCGCCGTTTGGGGGTTCTGCATAGACAGCAATCCACGCGAAAATCCGCTGCAGCACGTCTGCAAGGTCGGCGCAATGAGTCATGATAAAAATCACGACGGGATGTTTTTCCTTAGTTTCGGCCTCCAGGGGCCCTTGCTGGCCCTCGGGACCGTGAAGAAACGACTTAGGACGAAAAACCAGTCCCGGGGAATGGGTCGAGACCTCTGGGGAGTCGTCATCATGGAAAAACCATGACGTCGGGTGTCCGGGATCTCCGAAGGCGTCCGTCCCGATCCCAGGTGAGCGAGGAAAGATAATGGGTTTGACTGCGCCGACCTTGGTGCGCACGCTCCCCGCGTCAGGTCGCGCGTGAGCGCCCTTGCTTCCAATGTGGCGTACTGCGCCGGCGACCCACGCATAGTAAGTCACCGCGTAAAGTCGCCATATCGTCTCGCGTGAGACCCCTCTGTTTTCGTCGCCCAGTTGTTCTTCGTTGATTTCGGTCTCCTGCGAACCGTCATCGCTTGGAGCCCGCTGGGGGTGAGGTGGCCCAGCATTTTCTTGCGGCCAGCAGAGCAGGAAGGGGGCGCGAGGTTCGAGGTTCTGGGGTTGAGGATGCTCCTGGCCTTTCTCAGCCTGTGGGGGCCGTTTTCGGGCCCCTGCATCGTCCAGAACGGATCCAGGATGAAACACTGCACCAGATGAACCCTGGGAGGGGTCTGGGGAACGATTTTGCGTTGATTTGGTCCTTCCTTTTTGTCGGATGCAACTCCTGGGAGGTCAAATTCTGCTTTCGCCCTGGTCTGAAATCCGGCTTAATCCAGCTTGATCCCGCTCAATCCCGCTCAACCCCGCTGAAATCCCGCTTCGCCCGAGGCCCACTCCGGCGTAACAGCTCCCAAGTGGGGCTTCATCCTCCTGAATCTTCTGAATCTTTCCGGCGAAAGCCTCCCAGCAGTTGCCTCCTAACTTTTTGGCAGACTTCCTCGGGGCCCGCCCAGTTCAGAGCCCCCCCTGCCGCCTCCGAGGCCTCAGGCCCCCGGGGGGCATCGGGCCGATGTCGCGCCGCCGGCTCTGACCCACCCGGCCTCGGCGCGACACGCGGCCCACGGCAGGGCTGCACCCAAGCGGTGTGTTTGGCGATTTCTCGTGGGCCGCTCTTCGTTTCGGCCTCGCTCTGCGGTGGAGGGACAACGAAAACAAGACGAGGGACAACGAACACGAAACCAAAAGGAGGGACAACGAAAACGAACACAGAACGAAACCAGAACGAGGGACAACGAACACAGAACGAGGTATGGAAGACAAAGCGAGGGACAGCGAAGACAGTGCGAGAGCGAAAAAGACACCGTTTTGGGGTTCAGCCCTGGCCGTCTACGCGTCTCTCACGCTGAGCAGCGCCACGGGAGGAGGAGGGGGAGGAGGAGGAGGAGGAGGAGGAGGAGGAGGAGGAGGAGGAGGAGGAGGAGGAAGGAGGAGAGGGGGGGGGGAGGAGGAGGAGAGGGGGAGGGGAGGAGGAGGGAGGAGGAGGGTCCCCAGGCCCGGGGCGTCTACGCGTCTCTCGCGCTCCTCACAATGCCCCCCCGGCCTTTCGCGGAGCGCGGAGCGGCACGCGATAGCCGCTCGCCGGGCGCCGCGCGTCGCCCCCGTGGCCGCCGCCGCGGCGCGCCGGGCAGAGGCTCCGGGCCGGCCGTGTGCCCCCCAAAAGGTCCTCCTCCTCCTCCTCCCTCCCTCCTCCTCTCCCCCTCCTCCTCCCCTCCTCCTCGTCCTCCTCCTCCTCCTCCTCCCTCCTCCTCCTCCTCCTCCTCCTCCTCCTCCTCCTCCTCCTCCTCCTCCTCCTCCTCTCCTCCTCCTCCTCCTCCTCCTCCTCCTCCCTCCTCCTCCTCCTCCCCCTCCTCCCCCTCCTCCTCCCCCTGCCCACCCTCCTCCTCCTCCTCCGAGAGGCCCGAGAGGCCAATCACCACCCACCAAACCACCCCAACCCAACCCGAAGGTCTCGATTTGCCCTCCAGTTCCAGTTTGGGGGGGGGTCGGGGAGCATCGAGAAAACACATGTGGAACCCGTACCCCCCCCAACCCGAAATTCGGGTATTCGGGTTGGGTTGGGGTGGTCTGGTAGGTAGTCAGCCAAGGCCTTTGGGGGGGCCGCGGCCGGGGAAAAGGGCGCCGTCGGGTGCCTCTGGCGGCGCGGGCCTCTGTGGTCTCTCGCGGGAGCTGCGTCGGGAGCCGTCGGCAGGCCAGTGTTCTCGACTTTTTCGGGGACACGGGGCGAGGGAGCCGTCGGCAGGCCAACGTTCTCGACTTGTTTCGGGCACGGGGCGAGGGTGTTTTTTTTTTGTTCGGTCCCAGGGGGAAGCGCGATGGGGGCGGGCCTTCTGAGCGGGCGGCGGGGCTTCTCAGAAGCCCTCGCGCCTTCTGAGCAGCATGCTGGGCCTGCTCCAGGCCCGCAGGCGGCTTCTCGAAATGCGCGAGGGCTTCGGAGCAGCCTCACCCCCGACTCCCGCTTCTCAGAAACCCGTGTGAGCCTTCTCCGAAGCCGCCGACGGCTTCTCAGATGGCGCGAGGGCTTCTGAGAGGCCCCGCCACGCCTTCTGAGAAGGCCTGTTCCCTCTCATTCTCCCCCCTGGGCGCGCCGTCGATTGCTGCACGCAAGTTCATAAGCGCGTTCGGAGGCGGTGGGGGAGGAGGGTCCAGATCGGGCCGAACGAAAGGGGGGGATGGGGAGGGGGGGGGTACGAAATCTGCTGCATGCAGCTGGTTTCGGCCCCAGCGCCGGGCCCATCCCTCGATACATGGGCGGCTCCCGGCGCCAAAATCAGCTAAGTGAGCTGATTCTCACCCCCCCCTTTTGCTATCCCCCCCCTTTCGCCCGGCCCTACAAGAGCGAAGCCCAAAGAAAGGCACGTGCGGACCTCCAAGAGTTTGTGCTTGTGCAGTGTTTCGCTGCTTGGGAGCAGCATGCACGGTGGGGCTTCTCACCGCTTTCAGCCCCTCTCCCGGGCCGCTTGCGGGCCTCGCGCCGTCCACGAAGCAGTCTGCAGAATCACACAGGCTGGCTCGGAAAGTGCCGGAGGGTGTGCGAGGATGTAGGGTCAAGTCGGGCTTGTCCCTCTACAGGGGGAATGTTCAAAGATAATATAACAATAGTCCGGGGACGATGTTTTGACAATGTTTTTGTATTTTTGAATATTTTCGGGGTAGGTATTCTTTCTTTTTCGTCCAAAATCCCCCTGTAGGGGGACAGGCCCGACCAAAATGCAGGGCCCAGGTTCGTGGGCCAGGGGTTTTGGGCGCCGTTCGACGCTTTCAGGCGGCCTCCCCAGACGCCCAGCTTCTCGCGTGTCTCGGGGCGTTCCCCCCTAAGAGGACACTCCGGTCCCCCGCGTCGTTCTCTGGTTGACGGCGCCCCGGCCCGAAGCCCGGCCTCGGGAGGGCCGAGGACGCCGACAGTAGCCGGTCGCCGCGTCGCCAAGGGGGGGGAGGGGGGGAGATCTCCAAGAAGAGGGCGCGACCGAGGAAGGCCCTCTCTCCGCCTTCCTCGCTCGCTCTCCTCCCCACTCGCGCTGGGCGCCAGTGCGAGTCCCACCCGGGGCGGACCGGCACGGAGCAGGCACGCGCGAGTCTACTCTGTGGCCGCCATCCTCTTGAGGCATCGCACTCGCGAAAGAAATCCCAGAGGCTTGCGCGGATGGGTCGCGCTTCTGGAGGAGGGGGGGGCAGGGGCGGGGGGGGGGGGGGCATTTTTCCGCAGCACATCGCCCGCACATCGCTTTTCTCCTCCTCCTCCTTCCTCCTCCTCCTCCGCCTCCTCCTCATCATCCCCTTCCTCGAGCGGCGAGCGCAGTCTGTGGCGCGCCGACCCCCGCTGACCTCCAACACCTCCACAACCCGGTAGTGCTGCTCCTCCTCCGCCTCCTCCTCCTCCTCCTCCTCCTCTCCTCCTCCTCCGCCTCATCCTCCTTCTCTTCCTCCTCCTCCTCCTCGGCCTCTCCTCCTCCTCCTCTTCCTCCTCTCCTCCTCCTCCTCCTCCTCCTCCCCTCCTCCTCCTCCCTCCTCCCCCTCCTCCTCCTTTTCCTCCTCCTCCTTCTCCTCCTCCTCCTCCTCCTCCTCCTCCTCCTCCTCCTCCTCCTCCTCATCCTCCTCCCCTCCTCCTCCTTCCTCCTCCTCCTCCTCCTCCTCCTCCTCCTCCTCCTCCGCGGCCCGCCGCGGGTCGCCCGCAGCGGCTGCGCGCCCCGTCTCCCGCTCGGTGCCCTGGAGGCTGGAGGGGGGCTCGTGGGCCTGAGGGCTCGGGGTCTGCACGGGCCCGCCGCCTGACGGCTGGCATCCAGCACTTGCTGTTCCAGTGTAGGCGAGTTGGCCTGCAGGCTGCGCGTGGATCATCCGGCGTTGCTGAGGCAACATCAATCGGGAGCGCTGTCGCTTCTGTGGTCTGGAGATTACGGACCAGATGATGTATGCACCGTCTGCGGTTGCGATGAATTTGGAAATTGTGCAGACCCACCGCCTGGGGAGCTTCCGGGGCGGCCGTAAGGAGGGTGATGATATAGGTGTGGAGATCATGTCCAGGCCCACGGAATTCGCCCAGAGTTCACGCTTCCTTTCCTTTTCAGAGTGCGTCCCCTGCCCCCCTCCCGCCCCCCGTGTCACGTGCGCCTCGGGCCACGGCTGGCGACGCCCCCTTTTGGACGCCTCCCTTGTGGACGCCCCCGACAGTCGACCTTCCTCCGCATGTCTTGTGCAGCCTCGGCGAGGCCCCCGAGGGCCTACGCGAGAGATCTTCGGGGGCTTCACAGGAGTCTCGCAGGAGGCCGCCGCATTGGGCCTCAGAGAAGGCGTCCGAGCAGCCGCCCGCTGGGCGCGCCCGCGGCCCCCGCGCGCGCGCGAGCTCCAGCCGCGCAGGAGGCCGAGGGGCAGGAAGCGCTGCGGAGACAGATCGAGGAGCTGCGGCGGGAGAGGGCCGCGTTCCAGCGGCAGGCCTGTGGGGGTGTGGGAGGGCGGAAGGAGGAAAAGGAGGAGGATGAGGAGGAGGAGGAGGAGGCGGAGGAGGAGGGGAAGGAGGCGGAGGAGGAGGAGGAGGAGGAGGAGGGGGAGGAGGAGGAGGAGGAGGAGGAGGAGGAGGAGGAGGAGGATGAGGAGGAGGAGGAGGAGGGGAAGGAGGCGGAGGAGGAGGAGGAGGAGGAAGGAGGAGGAGGCGGAGGCGGAGGCGGAGGCGGGGGAGGCGGAGGAGAAGGAGGAGGAGGCGGAGGAGGAGGACCAGTGGAAACCCAAGAGTCATCAACGATGTTGGAATCAACCCTCCCTCCAAGCTCCGTCTTCGTAGGCCCCTACAACGGTTCATTTCCATTGAGGGAACTGCCTCGTTGGAAGACAACAGCTGAAGCGTGCCAAACACTTGTTTTCGGGCCTGTAAGGCCGCGTATCAATTTGACTGCTGCGTCTTGACGATCCAGAATAGTGCCAGAACGCCATTTGTGGGATTCCAAGACAACAAATCTACATAATTGTTGCGCCAACACAATCCTGAATCCTTCCAACACACAGTTCCTGGTACGTTGATCATGGGATTCCGTGAAACTCTTGCAAATTGTTTAACCGAGTGTGCGCGGCGCTCAAGCGAGAGCCACATATTGAAAACCACCCGCCCTCAATCCGTGAACCTTTTGCAACTGTTGAAAACAAATGTGCGCGGCGCTAAGGCGAGAGCCACATTTTGAAAACGACTCGCCCTCAATCCGTGATGCTCTTGCAACTTGTTTAAAACCGAGTGCGCGCGGCGCTCAAGCGAGAGCCACAGTTTGAAACCCACCCGCCCTCAATCCGTGAAGCCCTTGCAAATGGTTCAAACGAATGTGCGCGGCGCTAATGCGGGAACCACATTTTGAAAACGACCCGCCCTCAATCCGTGATGCTCTTGCAAATTGTTCAGACGAATGTGCGCGGCGCTGAGGCGAAAGCCACATGTTGAAAACCACCCGCTCTCAATTCGTGAACTTCTTGCAAGGATTTTAAACAGAGAATGTGCGCGGCGCTAAGGCGAGAGCCACATTTTGAAAACGACTCGCCCTCACTCCGTGAAGCTCTTGCAAATGTTTAAAGCGAATGTGCGCGGCGCTAAGGCGAGAGCCACATGTTGAAAACGACCCGCCCTCAATCCGTGATGCTCTTGCTAATATCTAAAATACGACTGTGCGCGGCGCTAAGGCGACAACCACATGTTGAAAACCATCAGCCCTCAATCCGTGAACCTCTTGCAGAGATCTTAAAACGAATGTGCGCGGCGCTAAGGCGAGAACCACATTTTGAAAACGACTCGTCCTCAATCCCTCAATCCGTGAAGCTCTTGCAAATGGTTCAAACTAATGTGCGCGGCGCTAAGGCGAGAGCCACATTTTGAAAACGACCCGCCCTCAATCCGTGAAGCTCTTGCAAATATTTGAGTACGAATGTGCGCGGCGCCAAGGCGAGAACCACATTTGAAAATGTGTCGCCCTCAATCCGTGAAGCTCTTGCATTTGTTTACAGCGAATGTGCGCGGCGCTACGGCGAGAGCCACATTTTGAAAGCGACCCGCCATGATGAGGAGGAGGAGGAGGAGGTGGTGGAGGAGGAGAGGGAGGAGGAGGAGGAGGAGGAGGAGGAGGTGGGGGAAGAAGGAGGAGGGAGGAGGGAGGAGGAAGGAGGAAGGAGAAAGGAGGGAGGCCGGAGGACAGAGGACGAAGGACGGAGGACGGTGGACGGAGGACGGAGGACGGAGGACGGAGGACGGAGGACGGAGGAGGGAGGAGGGAGGAGGGAGGAGGAGGGAGGAGGAGGGAGGAGGAAGGAGGGAGCTGGGAGGAGCAAGGTGGGAGGAGGGAGGAGGGAGGATGGGGGATGGGGGGCAGACAGGGGAGTCGTAGGAATCATCGTCGCTTCGCTGTGCGGTGCGTGGACTTCCGTTGGAATCGCCGCCTGCGTTCTGTCAGCACGTCGTGTTTGAGCACCTCGCTCAGCCAGCCCCGCGCATCGTCGAAGTTCGCAGCCGCCGTGCCCGCCGCGCCACCATCGGCTGCATGGGGAGGCGGGGGAGGAGGATGAGCGCGAGACGGTGGAAGGGACGGAGGACGACAACCCAGGCAAGCACGACCGGAAGGGGGCCGCTTCAAAGGCGGATAAGGGGCTTGACGGCGACGCCGCCAAGGGTTTCAGTCTGTTTTTCATGCTCATGGCGAAGCAGCTCCTGAGTTGCGCCCAGCAGGCCCGCGAGCCAGGGGGGCGCCTCTTCGACGCTTTTCCATCGAAGTCAGAGGCTCCAGAGATTTGCAGGGATGTCAGGTCAATTCCGCAGCCATTCGGAGGCGATGAAGACGGACGGGAAATGCCGCACACGCAGCGCTCCATACACCTGGGCGTTCGAAGGCTCGATCGAGTCGCTGAAGGAGAATGGGGGGGGGCAGTGGGTAGCCAGAACGCCACGGCCATCCAGCTGATTTCCCAGTGGCTGAAGGAGCACAGCGTGGTGGACAAGATGGAAGTCATGAGTCATGAGCATGCGCCTCGTGGGCAGCATTTTCGTCAAGGACCAGAGGAGGATAACGTTCGTAATCCGCAACGAGGAGTGGAGGCCGGCGGTGATTGCAGCGCGCGCTCAAGTTGGGTTGTCGACGAAGCAGGGCAAGGCGCCTGCAAGCTTCCCCGCAGGATAATCGGAGCAATGTGCAAGTAGTCTTGGCTGCCCCGAGGTTCCCTGCACGATGCCTATTCCTTCACATCGTCCTCCGCGACCTCCTTCCGATGTGCCTTGCGTGTCCGGCAATGTGCGAAAAGACGTTGAGGCCTTTCTCGTGCCTGGGGAGAGCGAGCGGGGCAGCGTCCGCTGGAACGTTTCTGTATGGTGAGCGGTTGCGTGATCGTTTGCGTGTGGATGAGATGTGGCAGGGTCTCCAGCTGGCCGTAACTGGCAAGTCGGTCGGCGGGACCTGCCGTGGAGCAGACGCGCCCTGGGGTGCTGCTCCTGCGCGCTGGCCACAGCTGCCGGACGCCTCGGGTGTGTATGATGGCGCACCGCCTCTCAGCTCAGGCTTCGACGCGTCGGGATTTTCGGGCAGGGCTGGACGATCCGGTTGTTTCTTCTCATCCTCTTGATTCTGAAACGTGTCTGCAGCGCTGCATGCATAGGAGGTCCGTCAGCCAAAACAGCAGGCAAGACAACAGAGGGGGCGATGGCGCAGAATGGTAAAGCCTGGTCCCCACCAGCATCGTCGTCAGATCCCCATGTTCACCCCCCATGTCGTCATAGTTATCCCCACCAGAACCACCGTCATCGTCAGCACCGTGCTCGTCCTCCTCCTCGTCGTCAGCACCAGCAGCAGCACGATCATCCCCGTCCTTGTCCTCAACCTCCTCCTCCTCCTCCTCCTCCTCCTCCTCCTCCTCCTCCTCCTCCTCCTCCTCCTCCTCCTCCCCCCTCGTCCTCGCTCCTGCGCCGCCCCTCCACGCGGGCACGCCGCGAGGCGGAGGAGGTCCAGCGGCGCGCGCAGGAGCGCGGGGCCCGGGAGCGGCTGCTGCGCGCGCGGCTCGGGGGTGCCCCCGCGGCCGCGGCCGCGGCCGCGGCCGCTGCGCCGCGGGAGGCGCCGCGGAGGGCGGGCGCTTTGTCGCAGTCGTCGCCGCCGCCGTCGTCGCCGGCGCCGTCGGCGGCGGCGGCGGCGGCGTCGTCGTCGTCGTCTTCGCCGCCGTCGGCGGGGGGGGGGCTGGCGGAGTGTGGGTTTGCCGTCGTCGTCGTCGTCGGGGGAAGGAAGGGGGAGGGTTGGGCGGTGGTCCCTGCGCAAGGGGGGCGAGTCCCGAGCAGAACAGCACGCACCATGGTCACGAGGCCGACGACGACGACGACGATTACGACGACGACGAACACGACGACGACGACCACGACGAACACGACGACGGAGAATACTCGCGCACACGATCCGCACCGAGGGACGGAAGCCAGAAAAGGACCCCCACCCGGCGAGGTTCGGGGGGGCAATGCGCAGCACACTCGATGAGCAGTGCTGCGGCCTTCCCCCCCCCGGGCACAGCCCCCCCTCGCAGCCGATGTTTCTATCCCAACCCCCCACTCCTGAAGGAGAAGTGAAGCGGCTCAGAAAGAAGGGAGACCCTGGCTGGGATGCACCCCCAGGGGGCTACTCGGACGCACCCCCATCGAGGGCGGACGCCCCCCCGCGTAGATCCCAGGGTTGGGCCCCAAATCTGTGTCCATTCGACAACCCCACGAAGCCTGGGTTCGGGGGGGCAATGCGCAGCACACCGCTGAGCAGTGCTGCGGCCTTCCCCCCCCCCCAGGCACAGCCCCCTCCTCCTCCTTCTCCTCCTGCTCCTCCTCCCTCTTCCCCCTCCTCCTCCTCCTCCTCCTCCTCCTCCCTCCTCCTCCCCCTCCCTCCTCCTCCTCCCTGCTCCTCCTCCTCCTCCTCCTCCTCCTCCTCCTCCTCCTCCTCCTCCTCCTCCCTCCTCCTCCTCCTCCTCCTCCCCTCCTCCTCCTCCTGCTCTCCTCCTCCTCCTCATCCTCATCTCCTCCCTCCCTCCTCCTCCTCCTCCTCCTCCCCCTCCTCCTCCCCCCCCGCCACCCCCGCCCCCTGCAGCGGCGGCGCGCCCGGGCGGGCGGCGAGACGGGGCAGGCCTGCGCAGGGCGGGCGGCGGGGCCTCCGAGGAGCAGTGCCCCGCCCTGCGGCAGACGCCCCGCCGGGACCCTCGTCGGAGAGGCCACGGGCGGCGTCTTCCGGACGGGCTGGCTCTGCCCCGCCACCACCGCAGGTAGGAGGGGGAGAAGGTCCTCCGCCCCCTCTTCTTCTTCTTCTTCTTCTTCTTCTTCTTCTTCTTCTTCTTCTTCTTCTTTTTATTATTATTATTGTTCTTATGCTTCTGCTTCTGCTTCTTCTTCGTCTTATTATCATGATTACTATTATCATTAGTATTATTATTATTATTAGTATTATTAGTATTATTATTATTATTATTATTATCATTATTATTATTATTATTATTATTATGATTGGTTTCTTCTTAGTCTTGTTAGTATTAGCATTATGTTGATTCTCCTAAGTATTACTACTATTTGTTTGTTGCTCCTTCCTTCTCCTCCTCCTCCTCCTCCTCCTCATCATCCTCCTCATCCTCCTCCTCCCTCCCCCCTCCAACTTATGGTGGCCGTGGCGGAACACAGGCCCATCATCTGCAGAAGGCGCGAGGGCGCCTGAGAAGCCCGGTCTTCTGCTGAGGAGGCCTGCCCCCTCTCGCGCCCCCCCCCCTTGGGCGCGCCGCCGAGGCTGGCAGCACACAGACGCTTTGGGTCCTTCGCTGCCTTAGCTGCCTCGATACGCACGTCTTGGTTCGCTGCCTAACCGTACTCAAGACGTCCGTGCCAATACGTTGCGTGTTGGCTCAACGTATTGGCCCACGTTTTGGAGAAAGTATCGCGTCTGACCCCACGTATTCAGGATACGTGTTGAACTCCGTATCAATGCGCTACGTGTTGCGTGTTGCGTATCGGGGCGGCTAAGTTTGGGTCTGCACCCTCGGGCCTTGCTGGACCAGGGGGCGCCCTTCCCCCAGAATTTGCCAGAGCCAGGGACGAAGCAGAGGGCCGGCGGCGTCCGCCGAGTTCCAGGTCTCAGAAGCCCTGAGCGCCGCGGTCAGGGAGGGGATGAGGAGGGGGGGGTCGGGAGGAAGAGGGATGGGAGGAGGAAGAGTCGGAAGACGAGGCGGATGGGGGAGCGGTACGAAGACAAGGTGGAGGGGGAGCGGAAGGAGGAACCGATGGAGGAGGAGGAGGAGGAGGAGGAGGAGAGGAGGAGGAGAAGAAGGAGGCGGAGGAGAGCAGAGCAGGTGAGGGGAGGCATACGTGTAGGGGGAGGAGGCTGTAGAACGGGGGATGAAAAGGTTGGAAAGAGGAAGAGGAAGGGGGGGAGGATGAGGAGGAGGAGGAGGAGGAGGAGGAGGAGGAGGAGGAGGAGGAAGAGGTGTTTGAGGAGAAGGGAGGGAGCACGAGGAGGGGGGAGCAGGATGTGGAGGTGTTTGAGGCGGACGGGCCCGACGAGGGGCAGGACTACGGTCAGCGTGCACGGAGGAGGAGAAAGAAGAGGGAGGCAGATGAGGTGGAGGATGACGCAAGGTGATGATGATGAGGAGGAGGAGGAGGAGGAGGAGGGGGAGGAGGAGGAATAGGAGGAGGGAGTGTAGGGCTCCGTGGTGTTACCCTCGGAGGCCTCGACCTGCGGTTCTACAGCGCAGCCATAGATCTGCTGATCCTCAACACGGTCTCACTCCCCCGTCTATTCTTAAGTCGGGACTGTCCCTCTACAGGGGGAATATTCAAAAATAGTCAAAACATAGTCTGGGGACGATTTGTTGTTTTACTATTTTGCGGCATGCTGTGGCATTTTCTGACTATGTTTTATGTTTCGTCTAAAAATCCCCCTGTAGGGGGACAGGCCCGACTTAATTCTATTTTTGGTTAAAAATATTGAAGAGCAGTGGTGATATAGGTGACGCCCTCAGGCAGGTGCGAGCACGATTTTTTGTTTGAAGGAGTTTTAGGGGGGCGATCAGGAGGAGCCCGAGGACAACGTTTTTGCGCCATGCCGTCCTGCCATGTCTCCTGATCCTTGCTCGTCACCTCGTCATCCCAGGGATCCTCCTCCTCCTCCTCCTCCTCCTCCTCCTCGCTCGCGCCAGGGACCGGTGATCCTTGCGTGCAGCCCAGGGGCACCCGAAGGTCACCAGGCCCAGGTTGCCTCTTCTCGTCCAAGCCCGACGCGCTGACAGAGGCCACCGCGCCCCGCCCAGGTGGCGCAGCGGAGGCCTCCCCCAGGCAGTGCCTTCGACACCACAGGTGCTACCAGCCTCTCCGGCGCCCCGCGGCGGCCGTATAACTTCCGGAGCACGTGGAGCTAATTGCGGGCGCTCGTCTTCGCGCCAGGTAAGCCCGATAGCCTTGGCATCGCTCGGACCTGTGCATTGTTTCTCGGCGGGGATCATTGGGGAGCTTCCTGGATCCTCCTGCGAAAACGAACCACGCACGAAACCGACAGAAAAACACAGGGAATGGACGTCCGAGCGATGGCCAGCAACGGGGATGTTTCATCCACATGTCCACCGCAGCGGCCACGGGAGCTCCGCCGAGAGGAGAAGCACGGCCTGCGAGCACCCGGACCCTGAGCCTGAGCCTTCTCGTCCGCGTCCGGCAGCGCGGCCCCGCCCCGCTGCGAGCCCTGAGCGCCCCCTCCTGCTTGCGCGCGCCGCGATCCGCCCGACGTGCTCCTCGCCTGGTCGATTGGATGCTGGTCGTGCTGCTGTCTCGTGCGTCGGAGAGGGAGGGGGGGGGGCTCGCCTGCCACGCTGGCCACTTCGCTCCTCGGTGCCCCCGTTCAGCGCCATCGCTGGTGCCGCCACCCTGCCTCGCCGCCGGCGGAAGAGTGCAGCAGAGGGGAAAAGGCATGGACATACAAAACGTTCGGAGCTCCGCGCGGAGTTCCTTTTGGGTCGGCGCGGGGTACGCCAGCGCTCGCCGCCGGAGGCGCCGCCAGGGGCGGGGGGGTCAGCGCCGATCCAACAACTCCTGGCGCAGGATTGAGCAGTCTGCACGCGCTCCACTGGCAGTGTGCACGCGGGCAACAGTCCTCACCGTCAGCGCGGCCTTCTTCCGCTCGTCGAGCAGTCCGCAGCATCCTGTGGGCTGTCCACCGTAGAGTGAGGCTCGCGCCCGTGCACATCGCAGGATGACGCCCGCCGATGTCGAGGGGGCCTGGCACGCCGAGCGACCACCTCTTCCGTTGCCTGGTCCGGCGTCTCCAGCCTTTTGTCTGCTTACCAACTAGTCTTAGCATCGCTGGTCATGTCTGTAGCACGGTTCGAGCGATTCGCATAAAATGGTTCACACGATTTCGCGACAGCTTGCAGTTACCAACAACTAGCTACGTACACGGATGCATGACATGTTGTTTTCAAGTTGTGTTTTTGGGAGTTGCGCCGCGTGCATTCGTATTACAAGTTGCAGAAAGCATTCACGGCTGGGGCTGGATGGCGGCTAGTTTTGAACATGTGTCCCTCACTACTGCGCCGCGCAAAGTTGTTTCAAACATGTCCAGGCTCCCATAATCAATCTTATCAGCGTGTTGTTGTTTACCCGCTCAGGCGCGACGGTCGCTGACCGTGGGAACCAATTGTCGCCCCCCCCCCCCTTTCGGCGAAGCGTCTCGCCCCTGGAACTGGTATCCAGCCCCCAGGCCCGTCAGCGCGGGATCCCAACAAGGTCCTAAGTGGATTCCAGCAAGACTCCTATCGAATTCCAAGCCCAAGAGGGTTGTCCGTATTACCTAATCGCTTAGGAAAGGAGGCCTCAAGCGAAATCACCATGGTGAAATTGCCTTCCACTCATGTCTTATCTCAACTACACAGTTAATTCCTACCGTTGCTGGGGGGGATGGGGGCGTGGGAGGATTTCGGAATACGGGTGCTGGATATCGCTGGCGGTGCACTGGGAGTGATACCCTTGGGGAGGAGAACCCTTCAGGACTACCGACGAACATGGAAA